ATAATATATATATATATATATATATATATATACCTTGGCGTTATTAGGGAGTTTCTCTCTTAATGACTTCATTTATTTTATTATTAATTATATTTATTGTTAATTATATTTATTATTATATATATGTAAATATATTTATATAAATAGTAATTATATAAATAATATATTTATTATACAAATTATACAACTATATAGAAGTAGATAACAACAAAGATATTTATAAGAAAACAATCTTCTTTATACCTCATCAGCAAATAACACTATTGCTGCTGCATGCAGCTGCCTGTACACCTCAGCTGCTGCAGGAGCAGCTACTATGTATATGACATTGTCTCTAGGGTTTAGGGTTTAGGGTTTAGGGTTTTCACGTGTCCTCGATGTGCTCACAGAGTGACCCCTCAGGCCAGTTGAGCGACCAGGCGGGTCTCTGCTCACCGCTGCTGCTGCTGCTGCTGCTACTGCTGCTGCTGCTGCTTGCTGCTGCTGCATCATGTAGATCCTTCGTTAGTACTTGTAAGAGAGAACGACCTGTCCTTGCGCATCTCCATCCTGTCTTATATTCAAAGTATTGAGCGCCACTGAACACAAACCCTAAACCCTAAACCCTAAACCCTAAACCCTCACAGCAGCAGCAATATAGTATTTACGCTGCTAATCAATAAACCCTAAACCCTCACAAAAGGAACGACACATGTGGCCCTTATACAAGCATAGACTCCCATAAGCCCTAAACCCTAAACCCTGAGGGTTTAGGGTAACGTACCTCTTAGGAGATGCATACCATATCTGTTGGGTAACATAGTGTTTATTAAGGACAAGGGTTAACCCTCCCTCACACATTATCTTTAATACACCCTCCTGCAGCAGCAGCAACAGCAGCAGCAACAGCAGCAGCAGCAGCAACAACAACAACAACAACAGCAAGAGAGTGTTGGCTGAGAGGGACGTCGCAAACACCCCCCTTCTTATTGAGAAATGTAAGGGTTTAGTAATGTTAAGAACAGCTCATTAGGGTTTAGGGTTTAGGGTTTAGGGTTTACGCTGGATTCGATGTCTTCTATGCTCGTCGCTGTTTGCTTCTCCTGCAGCTGCTCAGCTAAACCCGACAGCAGCGCATCTGCTGCTGCTTGGTACCTTACATCTGCTGCTGGTGTTGGTGCTGCTTCTGCTGCTGCTGCTGCTGTGCTAGGCTTCTCTGGGGAGGAAGATTCAAACCTTGCATGCACTAGTAAACCTCCACAACGGCAGAGAGGGAGGCCCCCTGGGGGCCTCCCACCCCAACGTAGTGAGGCAGCAAGAGAGAGGGAGAGGGGGCCCACTTCTTGAAGGACACCCCCTCTCCCTCCACATCTAGCAGCACAAGAAGACACAGAATGAGGAAAGACGACAGGGAAGGGGACAGGAAATGCATGCGCTGCAGTGTCTCCTCTGCTGCTCTTTAATAACGTCTGTAAGGCGCTACGCATCACGAGGTAGATGGGAAACCCTAAACCCTAAACCCTAAACCCTCGGGTTGGACTCGACGATGAAGCAGCCGCAGCAGCCGCATCAGTCGCAGCATAAGCAGCACCAGCAGCTGCTGTTGCTGCAGCTGTTGCGGTTGCTGCTCCTGCTGCTGCCCGGTCTATTGTTGCAGCTATGGCCCTCTAGCGAACAGCTATGGACTTCGTGAGTTAATGCTGCTAGCTGAGACTATCGAAGCGAAGAGCTGCAGCAGCTGCTGTTGTTGCTGCTGCTATTGCTGCTGTTGCTGCTGCTTTGGCTTCTGCTGCGGCGGTTGTCAGGGGTCGTGCATACGAACACTTCTATTGTTTGTTACCTGTCTGCGTCTTTCCCTAACAGTAAACAACTCAATATATACAACTAAATGAATAAATCAAATAAATATACAAATAAATAAATATAATTAGTTGTTTAGTTGTCTTTTAAGGTCTTAACCCCCCGCCACAGCCCCGCGGTGTCTCACGAAGGCCTCTGCATGCATGGCAAACCCCATGGCGCCAACGGCTGCAAATCCTAAACCCTAAACCCTTAACCCTAAACCCTAAACCCTAAAACCTAAATTGTCGGCTAGGAGTTGGTCCCAGAGTGTTGTTGCTGGTGGTTTTGTCTCGGTTACTTGGCCTTGGGGGACCCTTGGTGTTGCAACTTCGTGTTTCGCTGCAGCAGCTAAACCCTAAACCCTAAACCCTAGACCCTAAGTACCAAATCCTAAAACATAACTCCTAATAAGGTGTCTGAGGGGTCTAGGTTCCTTTTCTTCCCTTGGGTTTTCCTGCTGCCGAGCAGAGAATTGTTATGGGGGGTTAGGCGGATTTGGAGCATTCCGTAAACCCTAAACCCTAAACCCTAAACCCTTCGCGAATTTGTTGTGTCTGCTTGTGGCCTCTTTGTCCTCCTTGGTTCTTGTGTATTATATTTATTCTTTTCCCTAAATACATCAGCAGCAACCCTTTCTTCTTTTCCTTCTTTTCCCTTTATTATACCTTTATAACAGTAACGGAAACCCTAAACCCTAAACCCTAATTCACACCTCCACCATGGTGGGGGTACAAGACTGGGGCACCTTTGCCCTTGCAGTCCGCGATATCTTCCAAAACAGCCCAACCACGGTAAACTCTAAACCCTAAACCCCAAACCCTAAACCCTAAACCCTAAACCCTCGAGCTAGATCCACAGCCCAAGGAATTAAAACGCTGCCAACGCCACATACAACCCCCCGCAGGCGTAGACCCTTCACCAAGGGTTTAGGGTTTAGGGTTTAGGGTTTGTGTCTCAGGCTCGCTTTTGCATGAAATACCGGAGGAGTGATTGTCTACTGCGAGTTAAAGTCACAGATGGACGCTCCGTATGCTAAACCCTAAACCCTAAACCCTAAACCCTTTCTCTTTGTCTTTTTCCTTCGTCTCTATCATATTCTGTTGCTGCTGCTTCTGCTGCTGCACATGTTGCTTCTGCTGCTGCTTCTGCTGGTGTTGCTACTTGTCTTACTATTTCTTTCTATACATCTGCTGCTGTTGTTGTTGTTGTTGTTGTTGTTGTTGTTGTTGTTGTTGCTGCTGCTGCTGCTGCTGCTGCTGGTGTTAGTGTGTGAAGTACAGGGTTTGCTCCGTATCTGAGTTACATCAAGTTGAGGGTTTAGTTGCTGCCTTTGTTAGTTGGGCAGCAAACCCTAACCCTAAATTAGGGGGGCCTGAATTATCCCTTGAAGGCGTATTAAGATGTAATAAACCCTAAACCCTAAACCCTAATGTCTAAACCCTTATAGCATAACAGTCATTTAGACACCACATAGTCAGCAGCAAAACATTTTATAGCCTGAGTTATTAGGGTTTAGGGTTTAGGGTTTATAGCTTACTGTTTGCTAGGGTTTATGTCTTACTGCATACACTGTGAGGTTATTAGGGTTTAGCTAGGGTTTAGGGTTTTGTTGCGATTGTCTGCAGCAACAGCAGCTGCATCTTCCTCCCCTCCTCGTGCTCGCGCTAGGCCGCAGCAGCAAAGCAAACCCCAGCAGCAACGCAAACCCCAGCAGCAGCAGCAGCAGCAGTAACTGCAGCAGCCTATACAGCAGCAACTGCAGCAGACGGACTGAGTGAGGCATCAAACAAGCCTCTCCTGTATGGGGAGAAGCAGAGGATAGCAGCAGCAGCAGCAGTCAGCAGCAGCAGCAGCAGTCAGCAGCAGCAGCAGCAGCAGCAGCAGCAGCAATACTATTTAATTTTAAATAATATTGCTGCATATTATAAATATTAAGAAAACAACAAATAGCCTCTGCTCGCCCTGAAGCACCTTGAGCTGCTGCTGCAGCAGCAGCAGCAGCAGCAGCAGAACAGCAGCAGCCGAAACACCGCCTGCTGCAGCAGCAGCAGCAGCAGCAGCAGAACAGCAGCAGCCGAAACACCGCCTGCTGCAGCAGCTGCAGCAGCAGGAGACATGGAGCTTTGTATCCTTTGGGGATAAACTGTCTCCTGCTATCTCGTAAACCCTTGCATTTGCTGCTGCTGCTCCTATTGCTGCTGCTGCTGCTCCTCCTCATTTTGCTGCTGCTGCTGCTGCTGCTCCTATTGCTGCTGCTGCTGCTCCTCCTCATTTTGCTGCTGCTGCTGCTGCTGCGCGGTAACTTATGTAGAACTCCCCCCACACAGACAAGGGTTGGAGGCCTTGATGGCTTTTTTATGCATATAAGATAAAGACAAGCAGCAACACAGTCAGCTGCAGCAGCTGCAGCAGCAGCAGCAGCAAGAGACAGCCAAGCTACAGCCAGTGCTGCAGCAGGGATACACACACACGCCGCACAAGGAGAGTCTCCCTGCTGCTGCTGTTCTGTCTACCGCTGCTGGCCCTGCTGCAGCAGCGGCAGCTGCAGTAGCAGCAGCAGCACGAGCACCTCTTGGGGTTTCTTATTAAAACCCTCAAGACGCTCTGAGGGTTTTGCTTAGGGTTTAGGGTTTAGGGTTTGGCTGTAGAGGAGGAGGAAGAAATAACACTAACAAACATTTTTCTCTATAAATAAATAAATAATAAATATAAATATAAATAACAAATATAAATATAAATAATAAATATAAATATATATAATAAATATAAATATAAATAATAAATATAAATATAAATGGTAAATAACTATGGATGTTTATTTGCTGCTAAAGGGGAGACAGTAGCAGCAGCAGCAGCAGCAGCAGCAGCAGAAGCCTTAATTGCTTATATAAGCAGCAACACTTCCTTATTTGTCTCCTTTTTTTGTCTCTATTTACTACTATTTTGTCTCTTTATTTGTCTCCTCTTATTTATCTCTATTTATTTATTCCTATTTATTTATTTTATTTTAATTAATTAAATAAATTAGTTAATTAATTAATTAAATTAAATAAATAAATTAATTAAATAATTTATTTATTTATTTATATTTATAAGTTGTTGAGCAAACTGTCGTTGCTGCCCTCACAAGGGGCCCCCTTGTGGTTCAAACCCCTAGGGGCCCCTCCCTGAGCTAGTAGCTAACTAGGGGGCCCCTTGTTAAGGGCCCCTTAGGTTAAGGGGCCCCGCTATATATACCCCTCTATTCGCTGCCCTCTGGGTTGGGGGCCCCCTACACAGGAGGGGGCCCCCTTCAGTACTGGGGGCCCCCTACACAGGAGGGCCACCCTCCGCTTGTACCGCTTGCATAGCAGTAAGGAGGTACTCTGCTAAGGCAGGAGGAGGTAAGACAGCAGATTCTTCCTCTGCTGTATAGACAGGAGGAGGAGGGAGGGGCCCCCCCCCTAAGGAAACAGAAGGAAGATCGTCAGGAAATACCTACACACAATATATACACAACAAATAAATATTATATATATACGTATATATGTGTATATATGTGTATATATATGTATATATATGTGTATATAAATACCTGTATATATATATATATA